AGAGAGAGAGAGAGAGAGAGAGAGAGAGAGAGAGAGAGAGAGAGAGAGAGAGAGAGAGCTTAGGCTATGACATGCCATCTTACAAGGAAGTTAGTAACACTGAGCAGTTTTAGTTATTAAGACGTGGCCTTGGCATTCAGACATAATTGAATAATTTCCAGAAAATTCTAGATTATTATATAAGATACTAGATTATTCGTACGGCGTCATGCATTATCTTTCAAGCTCGACACTAGCGCCGACCAGCGACAGATATCTGTATAAATAATTTCATTCGACGCTGTGGGGAAATGAGACATCACAACGCCGCGTTGCAGGGACAATAGGGAGACTGAAACAGTTGTTATTTTTAATTGAATAACTGCATGTATTTGGTATGTACATATATTTATCGTATATCGTGACCTTCCGTCGACTTGTGGCGTCAGCTTACGACACTGACGATATTATGTCGTTGCCTAGCGTGTGTGTGTGCGCGCGCGTTCGTACCTGCGTGTGCGTGTGCATGCGTTTGTGTGCGCGCGCGTTCGTACCTGCGTGTGCGTGTTCTACTGTTGCTATGGCGACAGGAAACGTGGCACCTGAAACTCAATCTAATTTCCGTGTTTACACCCGACCATTGCTCTGTAGTCGCCGGCTCGCGATAGTTACCTGATTTAGATTTGATTTGGATTTCAGATTGATTTTAGACTGATTTATATTAGAAGATATGATGATAATTAGCTGACATGATTGATTTTAGATTTATTTGATTTTTGATTTTGACCGATTAGTCACCTGATTTCAAGTATGAATCCATAACGTTGTTAAGGCACGCGTCTGTATGAAATGCGGTGAGAAAACTCGTGCGTGCGTGCGTGCGTGTATGAGAAAACCCGTGCGTGCTCATCCCTCGTGTAGCGTGCGCCGTGGCGTGTTAGCTTCCGCGACGCCATTAAATTCGGTATCAATCGGTTTGCAATCGCTCGTAAACAACGTATCATTGATGAATTGTAAATACAGCAGATGGATAGCGACTATTTCGTGGAAATTCGCATGAGGTTTTTACACGATAATGTACATCTGTGGCTGTCTCGATACCTCCAGGTAGGTCGTCGTCATCGGCGATCCGGGGGGAGGAATGTATGTACTTCGATCATATAGTCATAGCGTTAAAATTTATTGTTGTAGTTTAGTTAATTCATTATTTGCGTTGGGAAAGCGACGTTGGTCACCAACGATGTCTGCTAATCATTCCAGCACGGAGTATGGTCACCTATGTGGCGCCACTGGAGTCGGTGACGCGTGTGGCGACGGTAATATAATTTTATAATCAAAATCTGCTGAATATGTGGATGAAAAGTGTATAACATCTGTACCTGTGCCTTGTCGTACGTGCACATTATTATTGTTCGATGCATTTCTGATGATACAACTGTTTATAAAAAGAAATCCCACGCATTGTCTGTATTTGATTTTCTCATCATTCATTTTTCTTTCCTCCTCCTCTCCCAATTCACCATCCTCTTGTTGTTGTTGGTTCGCCTCCGTAGCAATTATGTGTGCGTGCGTACGTGCGTGTCTCTGTATTTATATATACATTAACATATAGACATGAAAATTACAAATAATAATAATACGTACTATGCGTTTTATTAGATCAGTCTTCAAACATATAATTCTTCACAAATGGTATTAAATTTACACGATTGTATAACTGTCACACGGTAGGTAGAGTAATACTCATTAAAAATACAAACATGTCACCATCAGGTTGTATAACATAAGAGGTTTCAAGGCTTTAACAAGCAATTCCTAGTTCAGCTTCCAATCTGGAAAGAATCTGTAACAGTTGCATTTGTTGGGATTCCACATTGCTCCAGTTCACATGTGTACTGTGTACTCGCGTTTTCACAGAGCCAAGCTGCCATTACATGTGAGTCTGACAGTTCGTGATATACTTTCTGCTTACATATATACGACATCACTCTAGAATTATTATACATTGTCGTGTATGGTTATAGAGTGTCTTCAGAGCGCAAGCTGCACTCACTTCAAATGTTACATTTGAATGATTTTTTCTTTCATGTGAGTTCTCATGTGTTTCTTCACAGAACCCGAATGCGAGAAAGCAGCATCACACAGATCGCACTTATAGGGTTTTTCTCCCGTGTGAATTCTCATGTGTGTCTTCACATAACCTGATTGTGTGAACGTAGCATCACACAGATCGCACTTATAGTGTTTCTCTCCCGTGTGAGTTCTCATGTGTCTCTTCATATTACCCAGATCAGAGAAGTCAGCATCACACAGATCGCACTTATACGGTTTTTCTCCCGTGTGAATTCTCATGTGTCTCTTCACACTACTCAGACAGGAGAATGCGGCTTCACACAGATCGCACTTATACGGTTTCCCTCCCGTGTGAGTTCTCATGTGTCTCTTCACACCACTCAGACAGGAGAAGGCGGCTTCACACAGATCGCACTTATACGGTTTTTCCCCGGAATGAATTGTCACGTATTCCATCGTGCTTCAGGGAAAGCTGCCACGTACTGGTCACACGCGTGAGATTTGTCCTCTGTCTGGTGCTGAAGTTACGATCACGTGTTTTGCTACGAAGACGGCCACGTCACATGCATAAAATTAACGTCTTATATGTAGGCTCGCCTACAAATTAGCAAAGAGAAAAGAGAATACGAATAGCTTTGTATCAAAGACCGCGTATTATATTCATATTCATTATTCAACAGTTTATTCTGTAAATCGAATCAT